GAAGTGCAACAAGCAGAAGATGAAATACGATATCATCTATAATTATGATGCATAACTATGGTATTATTTTAGGTTTGTAAAAAATGCGCCGCTTGAACAAGTTATTCGAAAACGACAAAAAATCTAAAATTAAAAAACAAATAATTATAGTATGCAGCATTAAAAACTATTCCCAATATCGTTGAAAACGTAAGACCGTGTCAGATTTTCTGACGGCTGCAATCATAACGCCTAACTGCTTTCGGTACAGAATCGAAATTAGCGCCAAACGGCAACGAGAAAGCGTAAATTGCTGTTGCTGCATTAAACGTTAAAAATGAATGACTTCAGAACTCAATCGTCAATCACTGTAATTCATATAATGATAATGGCAACACATACTCTAATGTGACAATCGCAGGCGTATTCGCAATAAAAAATGCCTCTCCCAACAATTCCACTTTTAATACTGACAGCAACACAGAGAATTTCGGACAGAGATCTTATGGCTCTATTAATATATGCCTTATTATTTTATTCAATATTATCTTACATAATTTTCACCGCCAAAAAGGACTGTATTGAAACAGAGTACTTCCTTTAACAGCGGATGAGTAGGAACTACGAAGACATCTTTGGCTACTAACGTTATCATGGAGATAGAGGAAACCCCATTCCCTAAAATGGAGTTCACGATATGGAGGTGTCGCTAGTTCTGCCGGTTGCAGAGGAGGCAGTAATCTTCCAGAGGGTGATGCTGCTGATAAAGCCCGAAGCGATGGTGGACATGGAGAAGCTCAAACGAAACGTTTCTTAAACGAAATCAAGAAGCGAAAAGCATCAGATATGTCAGTCATGTGCAAGGACATTTTCTGCACAGTGTCAGATTATAGGTTTCTACGTTTCATGTTGCAAAAGATGGGCGGATAAGAATAGCCCAAATAACATTTTTATTTTACATCCGCATTTACGCGGCGTACAGACACAATCCCCTTGATTCTAGCGACCTAGGGGACCACCCAGGCAGTCCACGCTACACGGTAATTGAGCTCCTCCAGTGCATGGATGCAAAACTGCATCACTGGGCAAGGCCGAACGAAATCCTGTCCGGACACCTGTCCATATTACCGATTTTATCGGTTTACTAAAATGCAGCTAGTTCTCGATACCGCCGTTAAAAAACATTTTTCTTTTACTACCGGATTTACACCGCGGTAAATTTAGATGGGGAGAATATGACTAAATAACTAATCTAGGACGTGTAAATTCGGATAAGTGGCGGTATTTTAATATCAGCTCTATTATGTTCCTTCGCTAATCATCGTACAATATCACGATGGTTTTTATGCAGGTCTTTAATATAAAAATAACTGATAGAGCAATAATAGTTATCGTCCTGCACATGGATGAATTTATTCTAATTGTTTCTCACCCAAACATATTTCCATTAGAAATAAGCTATGCAAGAATTTATCCAATGGAGAAACGCCTATTCAGTTTGAAACAATCTCTTACTGTATTTCAATCCTTTTACCTCTTTTCGTCTCAAATTTAAACCAATGTTTCAATCAGCTTTTTATTTCTTTCTTTACTACTAGTAGTTATCAGTATCGTTACCAATGGTATTTTCAGCCATCTGCAAATCCATTCGGTCTCGGCACAGCAACGTCGGATTAGAATAGCATTTTACTTTGTCGAAGAAGTTGTAATGTAAAGTCACAACTGGCTTCCACCTTCGTTTTAGCATCAACTTCGTCCAGATCTTAACCGTTGCTTGACTGTTTTGAAGTTGCAGCTTTCTCGTTGATCTTTAAGGTTATACAAATGGTTATTATAATTTGTCTGTTTCCTCAAAACATTGTGCAATTTAAAACCACATGTTGTGCACGTTTTCAGTAAAATAGTAGCTTTAGGGGCGACACGGCAGGATTGAAGGTTCACAAACAGCTACATCCCGTCTAATTATGTTGTTTCTTATGAAAAGTTGTGTGCAACTGAATCGTAGTCTGTGCACTTTCAAAAAGGCATTGAGCGAAATAGTCAAGTATGTTTTTTTCCTACAAATTAATTTCATTAATTAATTTAATGTTCTCCTGTAATATGATCAATAACTTATCTAGAGCACAAGAAAAACTGTTCTGAAGCAAAAATCTTCCGATACGATTATTACACTATAAGGAAAAGATGCACTGGCAAAAATCCTTCATCCGACAAATATTTGTTCGCGCTCTGATGATGAACATTGCAATGGTGTACGGAACTTTGGCTTAGTATAAAGAATTTGTACCTGTACCTCTTTATAATACATATATCTATAACCGTCGTATCGGAATACTATATGGTCTTGTATTTAAAATATTACCACTCAATCAGAGTGCATTTCAGAAAATGTAATCCAAAACTAGAAACTATCATGGTATTTCATATCAAACCTAAAAAATCGGTTAAAAATGAAGTATTCGGTCACGTTCTTCTGCGATGAGTCATATTCTAAATGATAATAACAGTTACCTGATGGAGTGACGTTAGAACAACATAGATATCCATCCCCTCCAACCATTTTCAGGCAAGAAAATCCAGTTGGACATATCGATCCAGTGCTCGGGGAACAAGACACAACATTTCCATTCTGCAGGTATGGATTGGTATTGGTTGGACAACGATCTAAACAGGTCACAGCCATTAAGTGAAGCACAGACAAGTAAAAACTGATAAACGTACCCAAATTTTAGATAATATCAGAATCGAGAAATTAACTCGTAATTCTATGAGAAGGGAAAGTAATTATAACGATCATGAATATATGCCGTATGATTAACGAACCATGAAACAAAAACATGCTTTGTTCATGACACGGGCTTACTTGATGTAATTAATTAGTCGCCGATGACTAATGCCTTCGTTTGCTCAAAGGAATGACGACCAAACAAAAGGTTCAAGAAAAATTTAATAATTTATTTACCTCATAACTGATGATTTTTAAAATGTCAAAAATATTAATATCAGCAAAAAAATTATTTGTAGCAAATATTAAATTAATAACAGCAACCGATTCTTTTTCACAACTAAATTATTTGTTTATTAATGGCGGTTATCAATATCTAGTTTCGATGCACACGCTCGTCTGTCTCGCTAATTGTTCCACATCAGCCGAGATCTTCCAACTGGGCACTTGTAACCCCTTAGGCGTAAA